TGGTACTTTTGGGAAGTTTTTCAAAGAGATTCATCCTACATCTACACTTCACAAACTTGAAGAAGTCTTGCATCTTTTCTCACGTGAAGATTCATCCAGTCAACAAGATAAGACTTCAACCTGTTAGAGAAACACAACATCATCTTTCCAACACTCAACTCTGAGGAAGAAGTTGATAGAGGCGGAGTAAACTCGAGGATTTGAAAAACCTACCAAGTAGCTGTCCGGCTTAGTGATCAAGGAAGCTAGCTTGAAGTAGTTTGTACTAGGAGTGATAGTGCAAACCCTTTCACAAGTTGTGAAAGAAAAGTGGAGTAGGCTTTGTTAACAGTCGAACCACTATAAAAATCTCTCTCCCGATCTCGCTTTACTTTTGGTTGATTATCTTTCGTGCATTACATTTCATACTGACCCAACGATAACTTTTCATACCGAAACTGTGCAAAGTTCAAATTAAAACAAACAAGTTATTCTGCTGTGCATCACTCCGAAAGGAGTTGTTCTGAAAAATCGAGTAGGGTCTATTCACCCCCCCCCCCCCCCCTCTAGACTCTCCTTTCGACCCTGCTAGGACCAACATACTTTTCTTGTTCTTCTTCCTGATATTATATACTATGGAGTACATTTTTTAGTCCCTTCATATTTGCAAACCAATTAGACATATATCATACAAATCATCAAAAATGAATTATATATATATATATATATATATATATATATATATATATATATATATATATACACACACACACACACGTAATGAGTAGGCAATATATGAAAACAAGTGTGTATATTAAATTAAGCCTCGCCTAGACGTCTTCTTCTTCTAATTCTTCTGTTTCTTTATACTGTGATTCATCATAGAAATTGGATCAATAATGGAAAACGGAACCAAGAACATGAAACCAGGTGAGAAAAAGAATTATTAAATAGATTTTTCAAAGAAAATAAACAAAAGAATGAAAGAGAAATAGATGGAACATAGTCGCAAATTCTTGCCGTCAACAATAACGTTAGATACCCAAAATTTGTTGTACCGCTTCTTCTCTTCTTGGTACCTCTTGGCAGAAGTGGAAACAGAAGGAGGACATTGCTCCAACATAATTGACCGCAACCGGTGGTTTATGGTACTTACAGGAGGGATCACTTCTAGAGAATAACAACGTTTTAAGAATATGTACTCGAGCTTTTGGAAATGATTAGTAGTATTGGTCACCCATCGCTCCAGACTTCTAGCTTCGACCTCCAATTTTTTTAATTCAGGGAATCCTCCTTCAACCAATTCCCACACTCTACCATAGAAAGCATTCTCTAGTTTCAGCACCTTAAGCTTCGATAACTGCCCAATTACCATTAAAACCTTCACTGTAAAATTAGTTCCACTTAGCCTCAACTTCTTCAATTTTGCAAGAAAACCAAGCCGCTCTAAAAGGGTTATACTACCAAATGGAACCATAACCGTTAGAGTCTCTAACCTCAATAAATCCTCAAAATTCTCTAGAATGATGATTGGATTTCTGCAACCGGGCACTAAGATGTCTTTATACACAACATTCAGTTTTCTTATGCTTGGAAACCTGCAATAATACACTTCTTTTTTCCTGATATGAATTGGCATTGCACAAACTAATGTTTGCAAATGCTCTTTGACCATGTTTGGAGGATCTATCATATACATATCCCCAAGTTTGAGATGCCTTAAATGTTGCAGCTCCCAAATTTTGGAAGGCAATAAATGAAGAATACGTGCTCCAAGTGTTTGCAAATTTGATTTACTTGATACTACAACATCAAAACTCAAACCATTGTGGTATGGAAAGATATCTTAAAAACACTAAATTCCTTAAGGGCAATAATGACACTCTTTTGAGTATTAGAGATTCACTCAAATCTAAAATTCTTAAATGTTTGAAAGGTATAAACCTATCAAAACATCCTTGAAAGGAGAAAAGGGAGCGAGGGATATTTGAACTGAACAACACATGATAGTCCAAAATATGTGAGCGTAAACTTAACCAGCGACATGAATCTGCGAGTATGTCTAACGACCATCCAATACACTGTTGAGTATTTGCTGCACATAAAAAACCTTCTTTTTGAGCTTCCCGTACGCAAAAGCTATGCATGTCAATATGTATGGAACAAATCTTTGGTCTGAAATGGGCTTTAAAGTCTATACTGACTAGTTCTCTACTTCTATGTACATGTAACCTATGTCTTCTAATGGCAGACACCTAGTGGTTTCACTTTCGTGGCATCAATAAAGCTTTTGTGGCATACTATGGAAACAATTTCCAATATGCTTCAACAAACTAGTTTCTTGAATAGATAAACTAGCCTCTCAATGTGCTTTATCGGTGCGACATAGAAGAGTTCACTTGTCCATAGTGATCCAATAATACTGAAATGGTTACCACAGGAACCACCAAACCATCTAAACCAACAATCCCCTCTAGAATTGCCACCACCACTTGCTTCTTCCCTTTTCTTAATTTCTTCATTCCATTTCTCAAAATCAATTTTCTTTACGTACACCAAGGCCATTTTCCACTGCTTTACTACAGGTTTTAAAAAATAATACAGGATCTAAATAATCCAAGAATAACAACAATAAAGATTTTGTGGCATATACGGAAACAATTTCCAATATGCTTCTACGTACCAGTGTCTTGTTTTCAAAATTTCACCATGGAATTACTGTTTAAAAAATCTCAGTATCTCTTGAATAGTTAAATCACTAGTAGTGCAACACTCCTGAAAATAATCTGAATGCTTATGCTTCTTTACATGGAAGAGTAGTGTTATTTAGGGTGCGTTTGGAAACCTGGAAAATGACTTCCGGAAAATGTTTTCCGAGTTTTTAGTGTTTGGCAAGAGGGGGGAAAATGAGGTCAATGGAAAATGATGCATTAGTCAAAGGAAAATAGGTATGTTTTGCGGGCCTTTGCGAGTCGGCCCACTGATGTACACCCAATTGTGCACATTTCTAGTATTGATTTAATTATATTTGATAGGTTTGAGTTCATGATTTTAGTAATTTAATTGCATAATCTCTCATTTTATCATTTAGTTATGGTTCACACTTGTTTTGAATATTTTACTGTGTTTGTTAGTATTTTTGAACCATTATAGGTCAAAGTTATGAGCAAGGGAAGTCCTAGGACAAAATTAGAGTCAAAAGTGGACCGAAAGACACATACACAGTACATTCGACGCGTCGAGCCAATGACTCGGCGCGTCCAAAATTTCCAGTACGTATTGCGGTCGAGACCAGCAGGTCTCGACGCGTCGAGCGAGCGACGCTGAAATGAAGAAGGGGCAGTGTTCTAAATGAAATAAAAGGCTGCAATTCCAAAATTTCAAATGGCTTCATTGAATTCCAAAATCAAGGGTGCAATAATTTCCTAATCATATGATGGCAGCAATATCAAATGATTAAAGACAACAATTTCTTAATTATAAAATAGAAAATTCCAATTTTATCCCAGCTTTGTACCTACTATAAAATTCCATATTCCTCAACCCTAAGACAATTTTTAGAATAGAGAATTCAGAATTCATTCAGAGATTTTGGAGACAAGAAAGAGAAAAATCAAGAGCCACAAGTTGTCTTGGGAAGCAAGAAGAAGACTATGGAGATTTGAGATAATCGTCTAGTTAATTCTTGTACACTTTTGATGATTTGTAATTCTTTATTTATATTTGCTATGTATAATTTAGCCATGCTTGGCTAAGTTCTTTAGAGATTCTTGGGTAAAAGTGTTTATGAACCTATGTGCCTGAGCTCTCAGTTCCTTTAATATATTATTATTTGGGTTAACTTGTGTTGCAATTGTGTTTTATATTCTTGTTGCTAGTAGTTTAGGGCACGAATTACTTGCTTCGTAGCTTTGTTTGTGTCACAGCGAGAGTTGGGCATAACTTTGGGCACACATAATTGCACCTAATTGTTGCACCTTGAGAAAGGATAATTTATTAGGGGGATTTAATTCTTGATTATTACGCATCGAGAGATGGTAGTGGTTAGGAATTCACTACAAGAAAAATGCACATAGACAACGGTTAATAACCGTTGTCGTAGGGGTATAATTTCTGTTGTTGAAGCCGGTGTTGTTGTAAGTCCCGCGCATAGACAACGGTTTTTTAACCGTTGTCTATTAAGTGTTGTTGAAGCCGGTGTTGTTGTAAGTCACGCACATAGACAACGGTTAATAACCGTTGTCTTTTCTAGAAACAACAACGGTTTTTTAACCGTTGTCTATTAAGTGTTGTTGAAGCCGGTGTTGTTATAAGTCACGCGCATAGACAACGGTTAATAACCGTTGTCTTTTCTAGAAACAACAACGGTTTTTTAACCGTTGTCTATTAAGTGTTGTTGAAGCCGGTGTTGTTGTATGTCACGCATATAGACAACGGTTAATAACCGTTGTCTTTTCTATAAATAACAACAGTTTTTTTAACCGTTGTCTATTAAGTGTTGTTGAAGCCGGTGTTGTTGTATGTCACGCACATAGACAACGGTTAATAACCGTTGTCTTTTCTAGAAACGACAACAGTTTTTTAACCGTTGTCTATTAAGTGTTGTTGAAACCGGTGTTGTTAAAAGTCACGAACATAGACAACGGTTTTAAACCGTTGTCGTTTCTTCCAAAGACAACGGTTTTTGACCCGTTGTCAATTCAATGTTGTTGAAACTGATGTTGTTAAAAGTGATGCACATAGACAACGGTTTTTAACTGTTGTCTTTTCTTTAAAAGACAACCGTTATAAACTATTGTCTATTGTGTGTTGTTGAAATCGTTGTTGTTAAAAGTCACACACATAAACTGTTGTCTTTTGTAGAAAAAACAACAGTTTGAAACTGTTGTCTTTTTAAAAGACAACAGTTTCAAACTATTGTCTATTGTAAAATAGACAACTTTTAACCGTTGTCTCAGCTCGTTTTTAACCTGCTTAAAATTTAATCATATAAAAAAATAGAAGCATTTATTCATTCACCATGACCAAGTATAGTTACATTGCACAAGCTAAGCAAGGTTCATAATAACAAGTCAAAATACTGAGCATGACCAATTCTAATCAAATCATCATCCAAGTCATAATACTACCAAAAAAAAGAAAAAACAATTCCAATCCACGAACCAAGTCTAAATGATCACAACGTCAAATCATACCTACTCTATATAACTTGATAGAATATCGGCCCATTCTGAACGCACCAGATCAATAACCGCTTTGTCATAATCAACTTGTTGGAACTACATGTAAATAGTGAGTAAATAAATTAGTATAGATATAATAAATTTGCAAAATAATTATATGATTTTTGACAAGACCATGACAACAACAAAAAGATTAACAGATACTTAAAAAACATGCAAAATATTATTATAAGAAACAACAAACAATAATCATTGAGAGCGCCACAGGTCCTAAATAAGGGTTCTTCTGAAAATATGTTTACGGTCTTTATCTCCTCATATTTAACTATTGGATATGTTTACAAGATATGCCAATTGGGGAATATCTTTATCTACTTTCTTCCATTATCCTTGAATAAAAAACAGGCTACTTGTTTGCCCGTTGCCTTCTATTCTCATCTCTAAGAAAAAGGCTATAGGAACAAAATCCAATTGATAAATGTCTACCCTTTATCCAGTTTCTATAGAAAATTTTAAGGAAAGGGCTACTAAGCACAGAATTGGTTACTTTTTTCTTGTACGAGAAAGCAAATCCCACAAAAGATGAATAAATGAAGGCTTAAAGTCAAGTGTAAGGCCATAGTTTTACCCCCAAGGTTAGTAAAGCACTAAAAAACTGTTTCCCATGCACTAAAAGCAGTGTCAAAGAATAAAATTTTTTGGAATTCAAAATAGAAATTTGAAGGGTGCAGATATTGTAGAACAAATAATAAGGTAATTATATAAGTAATTTTTTATAACTAATGGTGGCAAGTATTGGAAACAAACCTCCTTAATTTGCTTTAGAATGGACTCAACCTTGTCACTCACAGATGCCCGAGCTCCAGTAACTCCAACCGAGCTCACCTATAATTTGAAACAATAAACAATAAGCTTTTCTTGCAAAAAAACTTACATACATGTATCATCAAAAGTAATCATTTTCCCGTGACACTATCAAAGTAGAATAAACCAGTTTATCATAAGTATTAATGACTTAGAGCTCTATTTGAAATTAAGCAATGTTTAGATTGTTGAAATAAATATAAAAATATTTAAAATTCTGCTATAGAAGACCAAAATGACACCATAGGTAGTGCATAAAGGAGGTTAGAAAATACTCATACCTTTGCAAGGATGAGAGTTGTTAAACTTTCTTAAACTCGTCAACGATCAGATGCTTAAACTACATTTCTCAACATTTTCACCCTGCAACTTTTTCACTAGTAAGGTATGCCATTGGAAATATGGTTCAATAACGAAAGAAGTGCATCTTAGATAACTACAATTCAACTAAAGACAAAAATCACATGGAAATGCCCACCAAGACCTCGAAACCTAGAAGGTAAAATGATTAAGCAACATAACGAATTTCTGTACACTATAAGATTAAGATACAAATGTCATTGAGTAAGTATGAGGAGGTGAATTCATAAGCAATTTACCTTGCTCAATGAACACAGAGAGGCCAAAATCAGTTGCCTTCAAGGCAGCATTTTCAGCTTTATTAGACAGCAAGGTGAAGATGCTTGAGCTCTAATAGTCGAAAGGAGGAGGATTGGTCCTGCAAGGAAGCTCAATTCAAGTCACTAGATTTATCAACTGCAATTTGACTGACTAAAAACAAGAAAGGAACAATTAAATATTACCAATAACTCTTTTAGGGTTGACTCCATGTCTTGCATATCCTTCTGTTTATCTCTAACCTTATCACCAGCCCCATGCTTATTATTACCAATGTTCACAACTGGGAAAAAAGCCCCTTTTGAAACATCTTTCTCTGCTTTCAGAATTGCCACTCTACCAAATCTGCAATTGTTTTCTATAAATCCCCTAAACAAAAGTCACCAAAAGTAAACACAACCTACAAAGTACTTTTTCATGACAAATTAGGTGACCCTCACTTTAATAAAGACTGCAGCATAAATCACTAAATGGAAGCATTTCAGAGATAATGCCAAAAAAAAAAAAAAAAAAAAAAAAAAAAAAAAAAAAAAAAACAAGAAAAAGAAAAAAAAAGTGACAGAAAGGATCCACTGATAATTGAACAATTTGAAATCCATTCCTTCCAATAATTTTAACAAGCAGAAAAAGGATGATTAGCCAAAGTCAGGTTGGGAGGGAGTATGCAGTGTTTTCATGTACTAAAAACACTCAACAGAAAATGAAAATAAGAAATACTCAAAAACAGATCAGGCCAAGCCATCTAATAAAGGAAACACTTAAATGGTACACAGAAGGTAAACCAAGATAAAGGAGGGAAGCAAATATGTGCATAAAGATATCAATGCTTTCCAGATCATCCTGTGAACAATTATACCTTGCTCATTTTTTCCAAGGCCGTTTCCTTTCCACCCCATTTTCTGAAGAAGCCTGAATCCGACATTGGATGATGTTAACTGTTTGTCTAATGATGATTGCTCAACATTTTCTAGATCGACATTTTCTGTTGGTCTGTGACTAATTGGTAGGCGAAAGTCCTCTGTGAGATCCTCAAGGATAGAAGCCTCATCTGCCTATGAGAAGACAAGTAGAGTTTGATGTCATGAAAACAAGGCAATATTTGAGGAAATTGCCAAAGAGTAATGCAATGTAAAGTCAAAACTAGAACAGATCTCTGTATAGGCTACGTAAACAGACACAGGTCACTGCAAAGGTTTAATATATGAGGTTGCCTAACCATAATATATCTATTGAGTTCAAGCATGACACATTTTAGAGTGCAGACAGTTTCACCAGCACCAAAAAACATACAGACAATAATTTTATACTCCGTATTTATCTAATATTTTGTTAAGTACAGAAAAACAAACAGAAATACAGTGTTATCTCTCAAAATAAAATGCCAAATAAATAAAAAAACAAGTTTGACAAACCAAGAGAAGTGTGTACACATACCTCATTGATATGAGTTGTAAGCCTAACACGATGACCAAACTCCTGTTAACAAACATCAGGGGAGGTAAATAAAAATGAATCGGGGAGAAATAGAGCTGCTACCTAAAAGTTGATTTTCTTTTAAAGAATTTTTTCATAAATAAACAAAAAATATATATAATCTAATTATCTAAACAAGTAGACATAGAGAATTTTGTAGTCTATTTCAAGTAAACTGTAAACACAGAGCAAATCAATATGAATTAGAGCAAATCATAGGCAAACATTAACTGTTAACTACAAAGAGTATAATCAAACTAGCATTCTAGCAAAGTAATGCAACACTGCCAACACAACCCCAATTCCCAATTCCTAAGCAAACTAAGTAATCCCTCAGACCACTCAGAACGTCACTGGCTCACTGGCAACACAGCCCCAATTCCCAATTCCTAAGCAAACTATGCAAAATCATCTCAAATTCATTTTCATATATTATCTATTGGAAGCAATAAATTATAAAATGCAACTTCAAATAATCAAATGCAACCCAATCCAAAGTGCTGATGAACTAAATCTTAGATTTTTAGGTTTCTCTCTTTTATCCAAAATTCCAGTCTTCTAGATGAATAAGAAATTAAGAACCAATTAGGCAATCAATTAGGTTTAAAGAGACAGAGCAGCTAAGCAGATATCAATCAATCGGTCAATGGAATTCAAAACAAAGGATAAAAATCAACTATTTGCGGCAGTGGACCATACCATGAGCGCCTGAGCGGGTGAGCCTCGGCAGTCGGCAGAGGGTGCTCGCCGTAGTCTGCGCCCTTTACGGTGTTGGCGATTGGTAGCAGCCAGGCCCAGCAGCAATTCTTCCCTTGGCGATTGGCTTCTGCGGTCCGCCGGTATGCGCAGTGCGGTAATGGTAGTCGCGAAAAGGGCAAGAGGCGAAATGGGGGCAGCTCCCTCCGTCCATGAAGAGAAGAGAGAGTAAAGTAGTAAAGCTGTAAAAATCGGATGTACAAGAGGCGCCAAACAAAAAAAGTTTTGGTGGGAATTTAATTTTAGTAAAATTTTTTTTAGATATCAATAGTGGGATTTTAGTAAAATATTTTTTAGATATTAATAGTGAGAGTAAATGTATTATTCATACCAATAATGAGAGTATAATTTTAAAATAAATATAAAAATAAAATTTCATCACTAAATCATAAACATTTAGCTAGAGTAACTCTCACAAAAAATATGGAAATGATTCATTTAGTGAGAGGTTTTTCTGTCTATCACTAATTTTTTGTCACTAAAAGTTGTTTTTCTTGTAGTGCATGTCTATTGTCGGGTATATAGGTATAGAACGGGGTAAGAATATATTAACTTTATTATCGGGGACGCTAGACCCAAAATAGTACCGGGTATATAGGTACAGAACGCAAGGTAAAAAAAATAGTAGTTTTATTGCTCGGGATGTACCGCGTATATAGGTACAGAACGGGAAGTAAGAAAACAGTAGCTTTATTACCCGGGGTGCAAGGTCCAAAATAGTTCATAATTTATATACTACAGACTCAGAATTTATATAGGTATAGATTCATAATTTCTATACTATAGATTCATAATTTCTATACAGTAGATTCATAAAATCTTTACTGTAGATTCATAATTTCTAAACCGTAGATTCATAATTTAAATACAGTAGATTCATAGTTTCTATACAGTAGATTCATAATTTCTACACGTATGCAGATTCATAATATCTAAATTGTAGATTCATAATTTCTGTATTGTTGATTCATCATTTCTAAATTGTATAGTTATCAAATTATGAACATATAGTATGTGTGAATACATAGGAATCGAACCCCAAGTGACTAGGTTGAGGCCGGGTAGAGACTAGAGACCACTAGACTAGGGTGCCTGTAGGCCGGGTATATTCATGGTTTTATAGGGACCGGGTCCACCATAAACCGGGCGATATAGATATATAACAGGGTAAGAAAATATTAGCTTTATTACCTGGGTCGCTAGACCCAAAATAGTACTGGGTATATAGGTACAAAACGCGAGATTCATAGATTTTTATACTGTAGATTCATAAATTCTATACTGTAGATTTATAAAATCTTTGGTGAATAATTTTATATTTAAATATGAACGAAAATAGAACTATTAAATTAACTTTTGAATTGTATTATTTCTTTGTTAAATTTTTATGCACGGACAAAAAAATTTAATTACATTTTATTTTTTGTTCTAGATCTTCTAAACATCTATTTTCATCTCGTAACAAAAACAATGAAGGTCCAAATTATAGGTAAAAGATAAGGTGTAACACTTTAATAAACAAGAATTGGTGTGGCTTGGTGGGTTTAGCTTTATTTATTATGTTAGAGGTCATGTGTTCTATCCTTCTTGGTGGCATCTTTAACTTATATTTTATACAATCATTGTCTTGGTTCTCATAGACAACACAGAACCAAACTCGTTATATCTTAGATGTTGTGCTTAAATACATAAGTGTTAGTGTGGCTTGGTAGGTTTAGCTTAGTTTGTGATATTAGAAATCCTGAGTTCCATTCTTCTTAGAGGCATTTTTAACCTATTTTATAAAATCGTTGTCTTGGTTTTCACAGACAACACAGAAACAATCCAGTTATATACAAGATGTTGCACTTTAATACATAAAAGTTTGTGTTGCTTAATTAGTTAAACCTTAATTGCTATGTTTGAGGTTAGAGGTTCGACTCTTGTTGTTAAAATCCTTGTTTATATTTTATACAACTGTTGTCTTTTATAAAATAATGATGCGCAAAGACAACGGTTTTTTATAACCGTTGTCTTTGTAGTGTTGTGTATTCAAATACGCTTAAAGACAAAATACCAAAGACAACGTTAAATAAAACCGTTGTCTTAAACAAATAAAGAACGCGCAATGACAACGGTTATATAAAACCGTTGTCGTTGTAGTGTTGTGTATTCAAGTGCTATTAAAGACAACACATAAATGACAACGGTTAAATAAAACCGTTGTCTTTTATAAAATAATAATGCACAAAGACAACGGTTTTAAAAAACCGTTGTCTTTTTAGTGTTGTGTATTCTAGTGCGCTTAAAGACAACACACCAACGACAACGGTTAAATAAAACCGTTGTCTTTAAAAAAAAAAAAGAGCGCACAAAGACAACGGTTTTAAACAACCGTTGTCTTTCTAGTGTTGTGTATTCTAGTGCGCTTAAAGACAACACACCAACGACAACGGTTAAAAAAATCGTTGTCTTTAAAAAAAAAATGCACATAGACAACGGTTTTAAAAAACTGTTGTCGTTGTGGTGTTGTCTTATCACAAAATGCACAAAGACAACACACTTATAACAACGGTTAAGTAAAAACCGTTGTCTTTGACAAAAGTGTTGCATCAAAGACAACGGTTTTGGACCAAACTGTTGTCTTTTATACAAAAGACAACACTTTTCTTAAAAACTGTTGTCTTTCTAGTGTTGTCTATGTGCATTTTTTTTGTAGTGATTTATGATGCTTGATCTTATTTTATTGGGTGTTTAAGCCACGAGAGTGGAAATTCACTAGTGTTAGTGACTACGAGAGTAGCTCTATACCACCTTGCATCCTCACACTTGTTAAACCCAGATTTTAATATTGTCCTTAAGATTTGGCACTAGGTGATTAAATACTTGAATCCCAGGAATCTCATCTTCTCTCTAATTGTTCTCAAAATCCTGAATCTCTGTTTTATTTTATTTATTTTATGCAAATCAATCATCTAAACAATTGTTAGGATTAGCTCTAATGAATAAATTAGTAACTAGTGCTTGATACAACCACTTCCCTGTGGATCGATAACTCGTACTCCGAGAATTATTTGTTTACAAATATACTACGCATCAAATTGGCGCCGTTGTCGGGGAATTGGAGTTCTAGTATTAACATTAGTGAAATTTTTATTTTAGGATTCTAGTCCATTTTTAGTTTTTATTTTATTTTATTTTCTTTTCTTTTCTTTTGCTAACCCATAACAAGTTCCTTGTTCTTGAGTGTGATTTTGCTTTGAATCTAAGAACTGGGCTTTGTATGCGTACACGATCTTTTGGGAAAGAATGATTATTACCTTTGAACCTTGAGATTGAGAAAAGAGCCAAGTTTCTTAGAAAAAAAACTAGGATGACACAGGTACAAGAAAACCAAGTTGAAGAGAGATCAATGTCTGACTACCTTGCTCCGGATGTTGAGGAGCATGGTAGCATCAATATTCCAAATGTGGAGGCCAACAACTTTGCGATCAATCCGGCCATACTCAGCATGGCTGCGACGGATCGCTTTGGAGGTACACCCACAGAGGATCCCAATGCTCACATCACCAAGTTCCTACGACTTTGTAGCACCTTCAAGATGAATGGAGTCACTCAAGATGCTATCAGACTTAGGCTTTTCCCCTTCACACTGAAGGACAGGGTTGGGGATTGGTTATAGTCACAGCCAGATAACCATTTTGACACTTGGGGAAAATTACATAGAGAATTTTTGAAGAAGTTCTATCCTACCTCAAAGACTCAAAGGATGAGAAGGGAAATTCAAACACCACCACCACCACCAACACCACCACATATTTTTATAAGGGTACTTATGTCTTTTGAAACATATTTCATTATATTCCTTAAACCAACCAAACATAGTAATATAATTCCTAGAGTCTATTCCTTCCGCGAACCAAACAATAGAATACAATTCCTATTCTATTCCTTGCCTATTCCATTCCTTATGGAATAACATTCCTATTACCTCAAAATTCATTATGTGAACCAAACGTGCTGTTAAGGAATTGAAGAGGCAATGTCCACACCATGGGTTTCAAAGTTGGGATTTGATGATGTCTTTCTATGAAGGATTGCTTGATAATTCCAGGATTTTGGTGGATGCTTCTTCGGGTGGTTTGTTCACAATTCTAGAGCCAATTTTTAAAAATAAAAAACGTAAAGCCTACAAATAATATTAATTTTTTCGTATTAACAATTTAAAAAAAAAGTTATATTTTTTACCTGGCGGGCCGGCGCGCAAAAGCCCGCCAGAAATTAGACCCGCGGTGGGGCGGGTCGGACCGATGAGATAATTGAATTTCATTCAACACAACTAGGATAAGGATTACAGTACTAATAGCATAACAACTCTACGTAAGTAACCCCTATCAACTAGGAAAACCACAGAAGACTAAGCCTACTATAAAGACTAGTAAACATAGTAACAATAACAGGTAACAAATAATAGTATTGCTAACACACCCCCTCAAGCACAAGGGTGGTATGCCACAACATTGAGCTTGTCACGTAGCGCTGCAAAGCGTGGCCCCGATAGCGGCTTCGTGAAGATATCTGCTAGCTGATATTTAGTGGAGACATAATTAATCATTAATTCTCCGGAAGCTACCTTGTCGCGGACGAAATGAAAATCTATCTCCGCATGTTTCGTCCTAGCGTGAAAAACTGGATTCGCACACGTGTAGGTTGCTCCTAGATTATCACACCAGAGCGTCGGCGGAACACCAGTGTGTAGTCCCAGCTCCCGGAGTAACGACACAATAGAAGCAACCTCGGCTGCCACATCAGCGAGGGCCTTGTACTCAGCTTCAGTCGAAGAACGGGCCACTGTGCGCTGCTTCCTGGAGAGCCATGAGATCAGATTGGAACCTAAAAACACCACGTAGCCACCAATGCTCTTCCTGTCGAGCGGACAACTTGCCCAATCCGAGTCGGAGTATGCATGTAGAGCAGAAGTCTCGGAGACCGTGAGCTGCAAGACGTAGTCAAGAGTACCCTTGATATACTGTAGTACCCTCTTAACCAACCCCCAATGATCAGCTGTTGGCGTGTGCATAAATTGACATAGCCGGTTCACAGCATATGATAAGTCTGGCCGTGTGATAGTTAAGTATTGCAAAGCTCCAACCACATGACGATATTGAGTTGGGTTGTCATGTAGTTCAGCAGTAGACGAGACAGGTGGAGTAACTGCAGCCGGAGTGGTTAGTGGTTTACATTCAGTCATACCAGCTCGACTCAGAATGTCTTTCATGTACCTGCGTTGGGACAGCATGAGACCAATGTCAGTCTTGACAGTTTCAATTCCAAGGAAGAACCCGGGTGTTCCAAGATCTCGGATCTTGAACGTCGACGAAAGGCGATGCAGCAGAGAAGTGATGAGTGATGGATCATTGCCCATCATAATAATATCATCGACGTATACTAGTAAGTATACACGTGAGTTAGCAGCGGAGTAATGAAAGAGGGAAACATCCGTCTTTGATGATGAAAAACCTGCAGAGAGTAAATAGTCATGTAATCTTTTGAACCACGTCCGTGGAGCTTGCTTGACCCCATACAAAGACCGCTGTAGGTGACACACGTGATCTGGGTGTGTCGGATCTTCATACCCCGGAGGTTGCTTTGTATAGACTGTTTCCGCTAAGTGCCCATTTAAGAAGGCATTATGGACATCGAGTTGCCTCAGAGTCCAGCTGTGTGAGACAGCTAGCTAGCGAAAAAAGAAGCCTGACTGTAATCGGTTTGACTACAGGGCAAAAGGTGTCGAAGAAGTCTTCGCCAGCCACCTGATTGAACCCTTTTGCCACAAAATGGGCTTTGTATCGCTCGACCGAACCATCGACGGAGCGTTTGGTACGAAAAACCCACTTGCACCCAATGATGTTCATGTCTGGTTTGGGCGGAACAAGAGCCCAAGTATTGTGATGCAACAGAGCGTTGAACTCCTGGTCTATCGCATCACGCCATTCAGGGTGCCCAACCGCCTAAGAGTAACAGGTGGGATCAGTGGTTACACTGAGGGCTTGAAAGTCTTCGCCAGTACCCTGAGTCATATGCCGAAGCCTCATTGTATGCCCTCGATCTTGAGGCTCAGCCCTGCAGCCCGCTTTCTGCGAGCCACGGCCTTAACAGGCGCTTCAAAAGCCAAGGGGGTTGCTTCCTGTGCCAAGGGTATTGGACTCGGCGGCCTTTGAAAACCTGAGTCGATGACGACCGTGGAAGGCTGGTGTGATACAACCGGGCCAGCTGCCCAAGGCAAAGCCGGTGGTACCGGTGTAGTTGTGTCTTGAGCTGTCAATTCTGAAAAAAGGGAAAACAGCCTCATCAAAACGTACATGACGGCAGATGTAGACTTCCCCACTTGTTAAATCCATGCATCTATAACCCCTAAAGGAAGACGGGTAACCTAGGAAGACATAGGGTGCCGAGAGATAATCCATCTTATGCCGATTATAGGGCCTAAGATAGGGATAACACCGACACCCGAAGATACGGAGGAAAGTGTATGGTGGTTTCGTTTTATAGAGACGACTGTATGGAATCTCGGAATTCAGTACATAAGTTGGTAAATAATTCATTAAGCTTGTGGCTATTTCAAAGGCGTAGTCCCAATATTGTTGCGGGACACAACCTTCAGCTAACAAAGCCAACCCTGTTTCAACTATGTGACGGTTCTTCCGTTCAACTCTGCCATTTTGTTCGTGCGTATACGCACACGATTGGCGATGTACAATACCCACTTTTCGAATGTGTGATTCAACTTGCGGTATTCCTCGCCTAAGTCAGACTGAACATATTTGATAGAACGCGAAAATTGACGTTCTACAATAACTCGAAACGACTCAAAATTTTTATATATATCAGATTTTACCCGTAAGGGATAAAACCAACAAAAACGAGAATAATCATCTACAAAATGCAGAAAATAATGAAATCCACTAGTAGAGATTACAGGAGACGGACCCCATATGTCCGTATAAATTAAATCTAGCACATTGCTACTTGATAATGAAACTCTATCTAAGGGAAATCTAGACGATTTGCCAAGCTGACACGAGGTGCACAACCCGCCCGGTGTGGTTTTATTTGGTCTGACTGGACACAACTTTAGGACTTGATTCTGGACATGCACATGGGGATGGCCCAATCGGCGGTGCCAAACAACCGGTGTAGCACGAGATGTTAGAAAAGCAAAGTGCGACTGGGAAACGGGAAGCTTGTATAAACCGCCCGCTGTGGAACCTTTAAGCAGAACCGCCCGAGTGACCGAATCCTTCACAATGAAACAATCTTTATGAAACTCAACAAAAACGCGATTATCATTTGTTAAACGATAAACATATAATAACGGGACCGAAAGCTTAGGAACATATAAGACATTTGTTAAACTTAGATATTTAGACACGGATGGTATAAAAGCATGGCCAACTCGTGAGATCGTCAAACCTGCGCCATTACCAACACGCAGAACATCACCACCAGTGTATTCGTCAGACTGCGTCAGCATAGTTGCTGTAGACACTTAAATTTTGATAAATATTGATTATTTATCAATATTAGTATATTCGAATTTATGTATGGATAATATTGATATTATCTAATTTGTTAATTAGATAATATCAAAAGAGTTTGAATTCATCAAAACTCTTCTATCCTACAGCTATAAATAGGACATTTTATTTCTATGTAATCACACACATCCTAGGAAAAGTGATGTAAACATCTAGAAAATATTATTCAGGATCATAATAAAAATGTGATACTGAAAGTAGAAGTCCCTCCTCCATAATGATCGTGCCTATGCCTATTGATCCAAACCTCCATTGAAGATCAAGCCATTTGAACCCGGAGGCCCTTCAAAAGAACAAGCTACATATACAAGCCCTTCTTTGAAGATCAAGCCACTTGAAACCCGGAGGCCCTTTAATGGTGGAGTGTTCAAGGCATCCAATTGAAGAATCAGAGGACATCCCAGAGACTTGCATTCACACCGAATTAATACTTGACATGTAACTAGAATTTTGAATATCAATATATACATATTCAATTTTCTTTGTTCACAAATTGGCACGCCCAGTGGGACAGCTCTGCCTCTCATATCTTCATAGGCACTTTCAACCGATATGGGGGAAAACCCTGTATGAAATTTGAAATGGATGAGGCTAAATGATACTCCTTGGCACGAGTTGAAAATGCCTCATATCTTTCAAGGCTCCTTGGCACGAGTTGAAACGGCCTTATATCTTAAAGTTGTAGTGTCGAGACTTCCTTGCACTACATACTTTGGAGTGGTATATGTTATCAAGTGGCGTACAAGCAAGTCTCGAGGGGGCATTTGTAGACACTTAAATTTTGATAAATATTGATTATTTATCAATATTAGTATATTTGAATATATTTGAAATATTTTGGATAATATTGATATTATCTAATTTGTTTAATTAGATAATATCAAAAGAGTTTGAGCTTATCAAAACTCTTCTATCCTACAGCTATAAATAGGAGTTCTTATTTCTATGTAATCAGAGATCCTAGGAAAAAATCCATAGAAACATCAAGTTTATTCAGAGATCACAAAAACAATGTGATCCTGAAAGTAAAAGCCCCTCCTCCAATCCAATCGTGCATGTTGCCTGTTGATCCAAACCTCCATTGAAGATCAAGGCATTTGAACTCGGAGGCCCTTCAAGAAGAACAAGCTATATATAAAGCCCTTCTTTGAAGATTAAGCCACTTGAAACCTGGAGGCCCTTCAATAGTGGAGTGTTCAAGGCATCAAATTGAAGAATCAGAGGACCATTCAGAGACTTGTACCCACACCGCATTTGATACTTGACATGTAATTTAGAATTTTGAATTTCTAAATATATATTCAGAAGAATCAGAGGCCCACCATTTCGTTTCGATAAAGCTAACATATCGAAACTTCCTATTCTGGAGAACTCAGTTAGTCCCCTTCCTACGTGGTCAGGAGCTTTGATACCAGATGAGATAATTGAATTTCATTCAACACAACTAGGATAAGGATTACAGTACTAATAGCATAACAACTCTACGTAAGTAACCCCTATCAACTAGGAAAACCACAGAAGACTAAGCCTACTATAAAGACTAGTAAACATAGTAACAATAACAGGTAACAAATAATAATATTGCTAACAGCTTTGACAGTATATATATATATATATATATATATATATATAGGGTTGAGTTCAAATGAGGACAACAATATATAGAGGACTGTGAGGACAAATAATGGGCACACAACAAATCAATATCAGCCACACAATTTAATACATAATGGCACACATGAATACATGTAAACATCAGGTTTCGAACCTAGGCTCCATTAATTAAGAAAACTGTGTGCGCGACATACAAACTGTGGCACACGACATCATTCGGCCATGCACACGACATACAGGCTAATGGCACACACTATATTTGTCTTCACAGTCCTCTATAATATACATGTCCTCATTTGAACTCAAGTCTATATATATATATATATATATATATATATATATATATATATATATATATATATCAAAAGAGTGCTATTCACAAAAGGATTTTATCAAAAGTATCAAACAATTAAAATTTTGAAGTATTCTATTCTTTTCATTTTCCTACTCATTTTTTGGAAAATGAACCAAACAGACAAAGACAGTTTTCCGTTGTGTAGCCAAACAACAGAAAGGAAAATGTTTTCTTGAAAATGACTCATTTACCAGAAAACATTTTTCGGGTTTCCAAACGCACCCTTACTTCACAAGTTTTCTTGACTGTATTTTTTTTTTTTTTTTGTTGAAATGGTAGTTTAATTAATTTGCAGGGAAATGTTGTTGCTTTCCCAATCGCCCTGCACTAAAAATCTGTCTGAAACCATTTATAGAACAGTTCACCTGTCCAATAACATAATTTTCCTCCTTTCTTACCACTATGATCTTTAGTGCATCCACCTTGAACTTTGCATGCAAACGAAGCACATAGAGTGATATGTTTCAGTAGTTAGACTACGCGTCACGGGTCTATGGCTAATCGAAGAAGAAGATGGTTTATCTATGGTGGCTGATGATAGTATGAGAGAGGAGAAGTTGGGGAAGAAACTTCCTTTTTGATTTTATTCAATACCAACTTAACCAGACAAATTAATATTCTCCCATATATATATATATATATATATATATATATATATATATATATATATATATATATATATATATATATATATATATATATATATATATATATATATATATATATATATATATATATATATATATTTATATATAGGAGGTACAACCAAAGATATTAGGAAATAATATTCTAAAAACTGCTAAACTAAATATGAAGAAAATCTTTAATAAAAAGGAAACAACATAACTAAACTAGTAAAGGAAACAATATAACTAAATTGATTCTTAAGGGGATAGCAGGATCTGTATTGTATCATTACACCCTTCCTGGAGATCAAGCTTGTCCTCAAGCATGATGCAGGTGACAACACTCAAGTTGAATTCAGGTGATTCCATCGCGTGCGTTCATCTCTGTGGATGCAAGCCAAGTAGGCGGTTCTTCACCATCCTCTAATGTCCACAACATAAAAAGGTGACGACATTTATGACCCGGAAAAAATTGCTCATCGCAATTATAACACAACTTTTTGGCATCCCTCTCGGCTTTTTTCCGATGGGGATAAGAATTTATACGGAGGTCGAGGTGATTTGGTGTGGTTGGTGGATTATTGTGGGGGTAGTGAGACATGGGCAGAGGGAAGGGGTGCGACAGGGTGTGGGTCATTGTTTGCCATTTTGGCAGGTAGAAGGCCTAAGATGTGACATTTCCGGTAGAAGTCACGGGCTATATTAATGGCTTCGTTTAGAGAACTAGGCTTGGTCATTTCTACATCAATCCGAAGTACCTCGTCTAGACCACCAGTAAAAAAATCAACCCGTTGGGATGGGACTACTGTGCCTGCATGTGCAAGATGAGCTTGAAAGTCCTTGACGTAATCATCAACGTGTCTGCCGGTCTGAAAGAGCAGCTTTAGTTCGCCTAGTGGATTAATGCTTTGAGGTGGCCCAAAACTCAAACAACACTCTTCCTTAAACGATGCCCAGGAAGCAAATGGTGACATCGCAATTTCATAATGGTACCACCGTTGGGCCTCGCTAATCATGTGGTGTGTTGCCAGAGGAACACGTTCATGGTGTAACACCCCACTTTTCTAACTCTTAAATACATCTCTAAACAGTCATTAACATAACTAAGTAGCGGAAAAACTAAAAGATAAATAGTGGGAGTGTCACCACCACAACCACCACTCTTTGGTGATTGCACAGGCTAAAAGGGGTAAAACTAGAAATAAGATTAAGTCTGGGTACTAAAAATAAATACTGGAAACGTTAGGGGGAAAACGCCACCCCAAAAATAGTCTACATCAATCCTCAAACATAGAGTCGATAAAACTACAATCCATACATAGCATCAATGGTACTAGAGTTTAGATATCTCTATCTACGAGACTAATCTAACTCGACTTCTTCACACTGCTGGGCCCACCTGAAAGGGGTTTTGCAAGCAACACATAGACAAGTAGGAAAACACCCGTTAGCACGAAGCTAAGTATAACCACACTCAACCCTGTAAAGCATTCTAGCACATACTTTGAAAACATATGATATCTTTATAGCAATAAGCTAATATCAAATCATCTTTAGATTTATCACATTCTTTCTAGTTGCTTGCACCCTATAATATCAGCTGGCATGCTCATCTATGTATGAAACTGATCACGTAGATTCAACAGCATATAAACTTCTCAAATAGCTTATCAAGCAATTCATGCTTACAGATAGGTTCCTGCTAAAAGACCATAAAACAGGTGTTCACATACTTTGTCATTCTTATCACATAACTTGATAGATAGAACTTCTAATACAACACGATAATCATGCTCAAAAGAATATCTTAAGTCAAACTCCTCGTTATACAATCTCTTACGCTGCTCTATTCGCATGCAATCTCGTATAACATTATGATCATACTTCTCATGCAATCTAATGCAGTAATATATTCATTCTCATATGCAATCTCGTGCAATTATATAATCATACTCTTATGCAATCAAGTGCAATAATATACTCATACTCATATGCAATCTAGTGCAACAATATACTCATACTCATATGTAATCTAGTGCAACAATATAATCATAATCTTATGCAATCTAGTGCAACAATATGCTCATTTATGAATGAGAGTACTTTCTGTGGAGGTCTCTTTGTTACTTTCTCGAGTCTCTCTTGACTCTCTTTCTTTCTCTAGAGTCTTTATTGACTCTCATACTTGAGTCTGTTGACTCTCTTTCTTGAGTCTCTGTTGACTCTCTTTCTTTCTCTTATACTCGTAGACGGCTTAGGGTTTAACAGAAGTGTGAATTACCCCATCGAGAACGGCATACTTCTGACCCAATATCTCTTACCCTCTACGGAACCAATCTCG